CCCGGCTCCGCGCCGCTTCTGCCCCGCGCCAGCGCCGAGCCCCGGTCCGGCGGGGCCGGCCGCCCCGGGCTGTCCCGCTGTCCCGCTCGTCGGTGCCGATGCCGGTGCCTCACCTTGGCTGGCGCCGCCGTCGCCGTCCTCGCAGTCGGTCAGGTTGTTCAGCATGGCGCCGGTGTCGCGGCCGCTCGCTGCCGCCGGAGCTGGAGCTCTCGCTCCGCAGCAGCCGCGTCCCCGCGCCGCCCCCCGCGCCGGTGGGAGGGGGCTGCAGTGCGGAGGCGCCCGGGCTCACGGCTCACGGCTGATGCCGGCGGAGCCCAGCCCGGCCGCCCGCTTCATCACGTATGCGGGAGGCATTGCCCCCGCCGCGGCGGGGAGGGGGGGGCGCGGCGGCGCGGGGGGGCGCAAAGACGAACGAGCGGAGCGGGGCCGCCTCCCGGCTGCGCCAGGCGTGGGGGGGAACTAGGGCAGCGCTGCGGGCCCGGCTGGCGCGGGCGGGACGGGACGGGACGGCCCCGCAACCGCACCGACCCCTCACCCGCCCAGCCCCGAACCCCGCCTCCAGCCCCCGCACTCCGCACCGGCTCTYTCACCGGCCCCGCATCCGTCACCAGCCCCCGCACCTCACACCAGCTCCCACACCGGACCCCGGCGCAGCCCCGGGACTAGGAACACACTTGAGCTGTACAGTAAGGCAGAACCTGCGTCTGCGGGACGGACCCATCTTCAGAGGCAGCTGAGGCCCGGGATYAACGCAGCCCCTGTCCGGGCGGCCCCCGTCTCGGCAACCCCCTGCCCCGTGACGGGCAGCTCCCGGGTGGGCAGCACCACGTCATGCAGGGGACCCCTCTGCGGGCATCAGGTCCCGGCCGTGGGTGTAACCCCGTTCACCAGTAGCAGGGCCATCCAGGGCACCCGTGGAGGGGGGAACGTCCAGACCACCCCAGATCAGGGYCGGGGAGACAACAGAGGTGGTTCACCCTGCTCTGCCCAGCTGACCTGCAGCACAAGGAACGCTGCCTGCAGAGGGGAGCAGGCTTGATGTGACCTATCTTGGTGCCCAGGGGGTCAGGATCACACCCATAAGAGCCTTYTCAGACCTGGACAAGGGTTGCAATGGGGCTGAAATCCCCAGACCCTGTGCTGCCTACGGAGGSCCCAGCCCTTGCAGCTGTCCCCCACAGGGGCAGGGGCACAGGCCACTCTCGAGCTGGGGTTGTTGAGAGACGCTGCAGGGCTGCGTGCAGCCTCCTGTTCTCTCATGCACTTAATCCGGGAGGATCCCCCAGCCGGAGCTGGCTGCAGCTCCCGGCATCTCCTCCGGCACAGGCTGAGATCATGACAGCCCGCTGGCCTCCGTTAYTTCTTGACGGCTGTAATTAATTGTTTACTTTCTCCTGGTGCGGGGCCAGCTGCTCTGCAGCRCGGATGCTCCCCCGCTTGACCTCGCGGCCAGGAGAGAGGCTCAGACCCCTCACCCCAGCCCGGCAGGCAGCACTGATCCATGCCCTGTGGCAGCCAGGAYCCCGGGACCTGGCATCCCTAGGGAGCTGCAGCAGCACAGCCAGCGCTCCATGACAAGTGGCACAGGGTGGCTGCAGGGAGGATGGGCAGCTCAGGGCGGACAGCTCAGGGTGGGCACCGCCCCTCCCAGGACCCTGTGTGACAGTCATGGGGGTGCCCCTGTCCAGCCGCAGCAGCAGCAGCCCCTCACACCTGCATCCCTCAGCCCTGAGCAACAACGAGCGCTGGAGCAAGATCTGGCCCACTCCCARGGGTTGGGACTGGAAAGAACAGGCTGCAGACAAGTTGTGGTGGACAAACCACCCTCCATGTGGGTCTGGGGGGTTAGCAKAGACCACCCCCCCAAGGAGGCTGTGGCTGGACAGAAGGGCAGCGGGCCGGGGTCCAGCCAGCCGTGGTGAGTGCCAAGCGCTGGAGGGTGGATTTTTACAGGAGGCCACAGCGCGTAGGCTCGGCACAAGAGGGATTTTCCTACTAAAACAGATGGGGGGGAGGGAGCACGTGAAAGACCACTAATCCCCTAATCCCTGGATTATGGCTCCATTTCAGGGGTTGGGATTTGACGGCAGCACAGGGGGCTATGCTATCAAGACTGCATTGGCTTAGCCTGTGCACATGCTCCCACCAACATGGGGGAACAAACTGAGGGTGTCTCTGGGGCAGAGCAGACAGGGGGCTTGATCCCCCAGCAGAGTGCTGACCTTAACCCTGGCCCAAATGCCCAGGGCTGGTGTAGCTGGTACAGTGTGTCAAAGGGAGAGAGGTTTGACATGGTTTGGGCATCATCCATGCCCTTGCATTGCTTGCAGTCCCACTGCAGGCAGTTCAAGAGCATGGGGAGAGAGGAAGACAGACGCTTCTCCCCAGCCATGGAGTGAGGGATCAGCTGCAAGTGGCCCTTGAGTCCGAGTAGCAGGCAGGATCCTGGCACCAAGCCAGGCAGAGCATCAGTGCCCCACTTAAATGCAAGAGGCTGCCCAGGAATGACAACGGAGAGTGGCCAAGCCAAGAAACATCCCTGCAAAGTGTCCTGTACCCCTGCAGAGCCTCCCAAGAATGTCTCAGACCCCTCTGCGTAGAGCCTGGGTRGGGGGAACCACTCTCATGGACATTCCCAGGGCTGGAATCCTGGCTGCCCGCCACACAGCCCTTGCCTGTCCTATTACCAGCAGCGGTCAAACCTCCCAGGAGCGAGACACGTGCTGGAGTCACTGGGAAACCTCCTGAGGGCAGGGAGCGGGCAGCCTGGCAGCGTGCCGCCCGGGCAGCGAGGGCGGCCGTGCTGCGGAGATGCYGGTCAGCACACTGCACTGCCTGCTGCCATCCCTGGACACTGTCAGCAGCCTGTCCATCCACATCCTGCCCCCGCACCGAGGGCTTGAGGGCATGAGGACAGGCAGCTCCCAGGGAAAAGAAGAGCTGGGTCAGGAGAGACCCCAAGAGGATGGAGTCGCAGCAGGGCAGAAGGATGGTGATGCCAGCCAAATGTTGTAGCTGGGGGTTTGCACCACAGTGTGCTCCACACCATTGTGCCCCCATGGCCCCATGAGCCCTGGGGCAACACATCCTGCAGCACCTTGACACGATGGAGCGGTCTTGTTCATCCCCATCCAGACAGGTCAGGGTTCTGCCACCAGCATGGGGCGAAAGCAGAGCCCAGAGGTGACACAGGCACCAGCTGGGACTTGACACGAKCTCCAGCAGCAGGACAGGACACGGAGGGTGGTGTAATGTCCCGTGGGGCTGGGAGAGGAGGCGCGGGAGCCACTGCAGCCCCCTGAGGCCAAGAGCAGAAAGGCGGCAATGGGGCAGGGCGGGCAGAGGCCATGGGGCAAGGCAGGAGGCTGTGAGCTCCTGCGTCACACGAGCCCGGCACAGCRCGCAGCTGGCGCAGCGTCCCCAGCTGCCCTTGCCCAGATGTCTTGCCAGCAGCAGGGCCGCGGCAGTGGGCGGCTGGGCAGCCTGGCACAGGGATCAGCGGCRGAAGCAGCCTCCTCCCACCAAGCCCTGCTCCTGGCGACACAGCTGAGGAGCCCCCAAGCAGGCCTGTGCCAGTCACAGTACCCTGGGGACGCCAGGCGGCTGCTGCCAAGCCAGGGCCAGAGGGCTCAGTGATGGCCGAGAAGCAGCTGCATGGCCACTTGCCAGCCACTGCCAGAAGGGTTTGGGTGCAGGATCAGCTGATGAGGCACTGGAGTGTCCCGTGTCCCACGCAGCACTCCTCACTCTGCCCCACAGCCTGTACAAGGACCTCCACCCCAGCACCCCGCCAAAGCACCTGTGGTAGGCTCAATGGCACAGGGACTCCTTGGGAAGCTACTTCATGTAGCTGATGGGGATTCGACTGCTCCAGTCTCCTGGCAGCATCCCACCCCCCCCATATCATCAGCCTCTACATGGTGCAGACCCTCGGCACTTCTAATGACMCCCCAAGGGCACCCAGTCTGCCGCAAATGTGAACTGAGCATCTGCGAGGGGGCTGGGGAAGATGGGGAGTGGGGAAAGCCTCTTTAGCAGCCCCCATCCCTCACACGTACCCCTCTGTGCATGGTGCCTCAAGTGGGGGCTCTGCCCCGTCCCCTGTATGCTGGTCCCTCCGGGCAGGGGTTCTGTACGGGGGTGCAGCCAGGGCTGGTGGGGTCCCTACTCCACCCAAGCCCCCCTCAGGGGGGCTCTGCCAGTCTCACAGAGCTGCCCCACAGAGCCCTGCCCACGGCCTATGGCCCACAGCCCCATGACCCCATGGCCCCCGGGGGGGGGCGAAAGAGCAGCTGAACCCCCTCAGCATCGGGAGTCGTGGCAAGGGTGACACCGGGACCGGTTTCTATGGCAACGATAGAGGTTCCTTAACTGGTTGGTTGCCATGGCTACTGCCGCCGAGTCCGACCGCTCGGGACACAGAGGGGCTCCACGGAGGGGACGCCCCGGTGCCCCCTCGGGCCAGGGCGGCTGGCCCACGGGGATCGCACTGGGCACGGGGGAGCAGTCCCACATCCACCGCCCCGGAGGAGCCCCAGCCCCACGGTGGGTCCCCGGTGAGGCACATCGATCCCCGGTGCCGCGGGTCCGGCCCCTTGCGCTCGGGCGGGAGCGGTCCCCGCGGGACAGCGGCACGGGCGAGCCCCGGGGCGGGGCGGGCCCGAGAGGGGCGTGCTCGGGACCGGCACACCCCCACCGGAGCCGGCCCGTCCCGTTATCGCCCCCTGGCGGCGCCGGGGCCCCGCGCAGCCCCGGCCGCCCCCGCCGCCGCCCGCACGGAGCCCGCACAGAGCTCGCCGAGACCCCGCGCAGCCCCGTCCGCCCCGCCGCCCGCACGGACTCGATTCCCCGGGCCAAGCCCCGCATCCGGCCCTACTGCAGCAGTGATTTGCGCCTGGCCCCGCGGCCCCCGCGGCTCCAAACCCTGCCCTGCCCGGCAGGACCGGGAGCTCCCTTGCGGCCGCCGCCCCTCCCCGGGGTTCCCAGGGGGATGAATCCCTCCTCAGCACCACCGGCCTGGGGCCGTTCCCGGGCAGGGCCTTCCTGAAGGGCAGCCCCGGGAGTCGCAGGGCGCCCTGAGCAGCAGCAGCTCCCGGACGAGCAGGGCCCCGCGGCGCCCCGGCACCGGCAGCACGGCCGGCTGCGGCCCCCGCCCCCGCACCGTCCCGAGGTCCCCGGGA